CCCATATCCAATGCGTGTGGTTGTTGACAGGACTCAGTTCCTCACGGGCAGCTGGCCTTTGTCACGTGGACGTCCCCGTGGGGCAGTGGAGCTGGTGAGTGAAACTTAGGCACTTTTCCCTAAATGCCTCCCATACCTGCCTCTTCCATTCTTGAACCTTTACAAAATGTATTTAAAATGAGGGGCACCTGGGGGGCTCAGTCGGTTGAGTGTTCGACTTTGGCTCAAATCATGATCTCACGGTTTGTGGGTTCAAGCCCCGCATTGGGCTCTGTGCTGACAGCTCAGAGCCTGGAGCCTGTGTCAGATTCTGTGTCTCCCTCTCTCTTTACTCCTCCCCTGGTCACGCTCTGTCTCTCTCCCTCTTTCTCAAAAAATGAATAAACATTAAAAAAATAAGTTAAGTAAATTAAATAAATTCTCCATTTCCTAAATAATGCTGGAATATGTTCACCTTGTAACGATTGTAGGGAAGGCTTCCTCTTGAGCTCCAGGACCTCACTCCCCCGAAGCCACCTCCGTTGCCACCCTGGTAAATACGCTTCTCGTCCACATCCTTCCGCTCTTACACACATCCCCGGAGAGAGTGCCTGTTTTACACACACGTGCGTGATATTTTCTGCAACTTTCCATTTTCTTTGAATAATATGGCCTGGAGAGGGTTCCCTTCTCGAACGGCAACGTGGTTCTGCACAGTGGGAGCGCTGCCAGGATGAGGCCCAGGTGATGGTGAGGGAGACGGACTGGATAGGGCAGCACCCTCTGTCTCTCTGTCCCTCCCCCACTCTTCCTCTGGGTCCCAGGAAGCCAGCTGTCAGGTCACAAGCAGCCCCACGCGGCGAGGAGCTGAGGCCTCCCAGCAGCCCCGCGAGGGCCCTGGCATGAACGGCTCCTCCCGCCCCGCTCCAGCCTTCAGATGACGCAGCCCCGGCGGGTCCGTGTTGACCACAACCTCGTGAGAGGCCCTGAGCCGGAGCCACCCAGCTAAGTTACTCCCGGGCTCCTGATCACGGAAACTGGGACCTAATAAACGTGTGTTGCTAAATTGGGGGTGGAGATTTGTTTTGCAGTGATAGCGAACCGATACGCCCTGTGTGTCACTTCGCCTGTCCCCCTGGGTGAAGAGCGACATCACAGCAGGCCGGCCGCCCCACGCACCCCTGTTCACCCTGTGGAGACACCCAGCCAGAGCGGCCGTATTGTACGGCTGCCTGTTCCAAACGTTCAACACTCTGAGTAACACTTGAGACCTTAAATTGGAGTATTGTAATGACTCTCTTACAATCTAATACACTCGAGTTCCAGCCGCTACACACGGAAGTGAGATGGCACAGTGGTTAGAGACTAGCCAGGGAGCTAGGACTCCATTCCTGCTGTGCTGCTTCAGGCAGGCACCTAACCTCTTTGGGCCTCGGTTTAGGAGCCCATAGAATGAGGCCATCATCAGGACATACCTCCCAGGATGGTGGCAGGTGAAGTGAGCTCAGTCATATGAAACTCTTAGCCCAGTGCTGTCTGGAAGGACATGTAGTTATTGAGCCCTTGAAATGTGGCTTAATTTGGCTAAAGAAGTGAATCTATAATTTGTTAAATCAATTTAATTTTTTAAATTTTTATTTATTTCTAGGAGAGAGAGAGACAGCATGAACAGGGGAGGGTCAGAGAGAGAGGGAGACACAGACTCTGAAACAGGCTCCAGGCTCTGAGCTGGCTGTCAGCACAGAGCCTGACACGGGGCTTGAACCCACGAACCGCGAGATCATGACCTAAGCGAAAGTCGGACACTTAACCAACTAAGCCACCCAGGCGCCCCTCAATTTAATTTTTTTAAGTTTATTTATTTATTTTGAGAGAGAGAGAGAGAGAGCGAGAGAGAGAGAGAGACCTCATGCAAGCCAGGAAGGGGCAAAGAGAGGGAAGGACAGAATCCCAGGCAGGCTCCACACTGTCAGCACAGAGCCCAATGTGGGGCTTGAACTCACGGACCCTGAGATCATGACCAGAGATGAGATCAAGAGTCCGATGTTTAACCAACTGAGCCACCCAGGTGCCCCTCAATTTAAATTTAAATAGCCAAGGGGCACCTGGGTGGCTTAGCCTGTCGAGCATCCAGCTTTGGCCCGAGTCATGATCTCAGGTGCATAAGTTCGAGCCCTGTGTTGGGCTCTCAGCACAGAGACTGCTTTGGATCTTCTGTACCCATCTCCCTCTGCTCCTCCCCAGCCTGCTCGTGCTCTCTCTCTCAAAAATAAGTATATCTTAAAAAATAAATTTAAAGAGCCAGATGTGGCTAAGTGGCTACTGTAGCATATGGCTCAGCCTTGAAACAATGCTTGGCAAATAGTGAGGGCTTAATAAATGCTTGGTAGAAATGTTATCCAGACAAGTTATCTGCCAGGGGGCCGATTTCCATCCCACAGCAGTGTGGAGGTCATCAGGTGTCGTTCTCATCCTCGAGTCCGATCACGCCTCTCCCCTGCTCAAAGCCCTTCTGCCCTGGAGATGATGGCCCAATTTGCTACTCTCGTGGTTACGCTGGAGCACACTCTGGAAGTACTTTTTCTTGCAGGGATGGGCTCTTCTGGGTTTTGCCCACCTTTTTTCTGGACCAGGGCCTTGGGAGGTCGGGGACAAGGTCCGGCCCTGGGTAGGCCCTTCCTCAGGAGAGGCCGCCTGGAGCGGTCCCTGTGGCCTCTGCGGCCGCTTCTCCGCCCAGTGCCGCAGCCGGTCAGTCTTAGCCAACCGTCCAACCTCCGCAACATCTCAGCCTCTGAGCTTTTGCCCAGGCTGTTCCTTCCACCCAGAAAACCCTTCCGAGTGGACTCAGACTCGTCTTTCCAGCTCCCACCCCCACTGGGCCTGGTTCTCTCTGCAGGGGCTGGAGCAAGGCGCTTCGTGTTTCTGAGTTTCCTCCATCACAAAACGGGAAAAATGGGACGCCTTATGGATAAGATGAAAACACAGGGCTACTTCCGGTGTCTGGCAGGGTATTCAGTGCCTCATGAGTGAGAGGTGTCAGCTGGGGTGCGGCCTCTTCAGGGGGCGGGGGGCCGGGGAGCAGAGGAGGTGACAGTGCTGCGGCCGGGGCTGTTTCTGCAGGTAAGACTGCCCTTGTGAATGTACTGAACGCTGAACTGCATACACTTCAAGATGGGGTAAAAATAGTAAAAATGGTGAATTTTATGTTCCATGAATTTTACTACAGTTTACTTTTTTAAAGTTTAGTTAGTTATTTTGAGCCAGAGACAGTATGAAGGGGGGGCAGAGAGAGAGAGAAAGGATCCCAAGCAGGCTCCGAGCTGCCCGCGCAGAGCCTGACGCAGGGCTTGAACTCACAGACCTTGAGATCATGACCCGAGCGGAAACCAAGAGTCCAGTGCTCAACCGACTGAACCACCCAGGCGCCGCGATTTTACTTGAATTTAAAGAAAACGCATATTGTACGGTGTCTCTCCTCTCCCCTGGGCCACCTCCGTGGGGGCAGAAACCAGAGCCACCCAGTCACCACGGGAGCCCCGGTGCCCAGGACAGGGACGGCACGCAGTAGGTGCGCAGGAAGTGTTTGCAAGATGAATGGCGCCTGGACCCACGAAAGCAGGCACCTGCCCTTCGAGGGAAGGAGAGGTCCCAGTTCCTCAACTTCCGGACGGGTCAGATAGAACCTTGGTGACGGGGCCATCCCCTCCCTTCCCGAACATCTCCTCCTGGGTCCCCTCCCTTGAAATCCTGGGTTTTCCGGCGCCCGGACACCTCGCTGGGGGCCGGACCCACTCGGGCTCTTGTCGACGAGAGGGAAAATCAGGGAGGATGCGGTCCTTTAGCAAGTAAAACTTTTATTAAATAAACTTTCAGTTTCTCCAGACCGAAGAGAGGCGTTTGGACATGAAGATGATGCCTGCAGCTTCTCGCCTGAAACACACCACAGTGCCAAGGCCCCTCCGGCCGGAACGGCGAACCCGGCCCCCCCGAAGCTCCCGGTCCCTTTCCTGCCGTGTGTGTGTGTGTGTGTGTGTGTGTGTGTGTGTGTGTGTGTGTGTGGCGGTTTGTCTCCAAAAGTCGGTTTGCAAGTTGAAACTTCATGAAATTACTCGTAGCAGAAATAAAGTACATCGTACAAATCACGTGGGTCTTCGAGGTGGAGTATAAAAATGGTATTTACAGCCAGTAAACATGGACCAGAAGGGCGCACGCCTCCGCCGCGCTCCGGACGGGCCGGGCGGGGCGGGGCCGGGGGCGCGGGCGCCGCCCCCTCGTGGCCCCTGAGCACACGCTTGCACACGCAGACGCACAGGACACAGGCACGCTAGAGTGTCTCGGAACAATTATCAAACTCTGGAATATCGAAACAAGTTGGTCGTAAGATTTTTTTTTCCTCTTTTTTTTTTTTTTTTGCTATGTGGTTTTTTTTTTTCTTTTTTTTTCTTTTTTTTTTTTCTGGGTCAGTCAACACATTTTGGTAGAAACAAAAGGGAAGGCTGTGTTTTTCTTTACAAATTTTTTTTCTTGAGCTTATGAAGTTCTCTGGTGCCTCATTTGGCAAGAGGCCCCACTGGACGTCCAACGAACTTGACTCTGTGCTTTCGCGGTTTGAGTAGCTATACAGAGGCGCCCCACGAGACCTCCCTCCCCGCCCCAACTAGGAAACAAAAATCTACTGCTGTCTGATTTTTTTCCCCATTTTTTTCTCTTTTCTTCTTTGTATCTGCTCAGAAAGACCAAAATTCAAAAAAAAAAAAAAATCATTTGTAGAGGTATCTCTGGTGAAGGGGTGCTGGGCCAGCGCGGGTTGGGTTCGTCCAACGCGCATGGCGATCTTGGTCATGAGATCGTGAACTCCAGGCTGGTGATCCGAAGTCAGGGAGGGCTGCCGCCTGCCCGTGGGAGGGGGTGCGCGGGGCAGGGGGCGCTCCCCAGACCCTGTCTGCCCCTGACGGAAAGCTAAGGGCTATTGGTCACATGAGTAAGGCTATGACGGGGCGGGCGCGGGGTGAGGAGGCGGGGAGGGGGGGGGCGTCTCTTCTGTGCCTACATCCGGGAAGGCAGGGCCCTGGGGTGGGGGTTCCGGAAGCTGCAGCTAAGACCAGGGACACTGGAGCTGGCCGAGCCCAAGGGCCCGCGAGAACGTCAGTGGCAGGGGCCCAATGTCCTGGAGGTATATCGCGTTGACTGATGATTCCCAGTGCTTCTCCGTGCCCTGGTCTGACATGACAGCGGGAGGTGGGGACACACTGGGCTGCCCGGTCATCCTCAGCCCTTCTTATGTCCCTGCTGAGTGACCGGGCCAGGGTCACCTTCTCTTGGATGGAAGGAAGTCGGAAAAGTTTGGTCCCATGATCTATACTCAAAAAATATATATACTGTCTATAGCTCTCTATATATATATGCATATATATATATAGGAAAAGTTGTGATTTAGTTTGGGGAAGCCACCAAGGGTGGGGGCAGTGAAGCCCTCAGCCCCCATCTCAGGAGCCCCCCGCCCAGCGCTGGGGCAGACCACAAAGCCCCCTCCCCACTCCACATGGCCTGCAGTAGCGTTTCACATTAGGGGGCAGGCGGGGGGCAAGGGGAGATGGGAGAGGAGAGGGGGGCTGGTGTCCAAACTCGGTTGTAATTTACGGAAAAGTCCGGGGTCGGTTGGAATCGGGAGGCCCTCCTGGGGTGGGAAGGCCCCTCACCTGGCAGAGAAGGGAGGGGCGTTAGGGTGCGGTGATGGGGGGCACGCAGGCCAACGACATCACCCCCCCGCCCCCTTGCCCTGGCCAGGCTGGGTTCCGGGAACCCAAGGGCCCATCTACTCAGAGAGAGTCCGTTTCCAGGATCGGAGGCCAGCAATCTGCCTTGGAAAGGACTCTGGGCCACTGAGGCCACTTCCTCATCTGGTGACCCCCGGGGGCAAACACTTGTGTTTATTCTTGTCTCCCCTGCTCCCTGCCGCGAAGGCAGTGCTCCCCCAACCTCCGCCCCGTTTCTGGTCATTCACAGCTGTGTCCCCAAGCGCTATCTCCAAACAGTGCCTAGCACATAGTAGGTGCTCAGAAAGGATTGCTGTCCCAGGGTGTTAAAGTGCATGGGTCGCCTGTTAGTTGTCTGATCCCGTGACCTTTGACTCTGCGGGTGCTGATCTGACAGAGTCTGAAAAGCACGTGCAGCCCCTAACTGAGCACCTACTTCGCACCAGACCCCCAGGCGCGGCGCTTTGATGACGACGGCGCTCGTGATTAAAAACAAAGCAAAAAACAAAATCAAAACAAGTGATTAAGAGCTTTCCAGGTGGCGGGTCCTGGGCTCAGCTGGGAAAACACCGTGTCCCCAAGTGGGTCCTCCCTGCTGCTTCTGGGGAGGTGACTTTCGTGAACCCATTTCACAGATGAGGCTCATCAAGGCTTGAGGTCAGTTATGTTTCCCCACTGGCCCCCTAGGCTCACGGTTCATTCCCCCAAAGGTGTTCAGTTGTTGATAAAGTTGTTCTCTCTGGTGGCAAAATATACTCTTGGGGATTTGTTTGGGGGGGTATCTTTGAGGGGGGGCATGCTGGTGAGCGGGGCAAACATTCCACTTTTTCACCAGTTCACTGAGCGTAAATGACACTAAATGAGGAACTTGGACAGGGGTCCAGCTGGGAGGGTCACAGGACAGGACAGAAGCCCTTCCCTCGCAGCAGCCCCAGCCCAGCCCACACCTGGCCTCTCAAGTGAACTTCTATTCATCCCTCAAAACCTTCTTCTGGAAGGATTCCCCAATCCCCCCCACCCTGATTTCACCCTCTGTCCTAGCCCTGACCAAAGTGGGGGGCTGGAGGGTGACTCTCTAGCTCTGTCCCCACCATCCCAACCTGGGGGCTCCTTGTGGCCTCCAGCAGCACTGCCCCGGGGGGCTGGGGAGGGCGTGCCGAGAAGAGGGGGGTGTTTGGCCAAGACGGAGGGTGGGAGGCGGATGGGGGGGTGGGTGGGGCCGCCTGGCGGCTCACCTGGGCCAGGCCCGCGGCCTCCGGGCGGCAGTGGGCGCGGTCAGTAGGGGTGTCCCGGGTCTTTGGGCCGCTTTAGCTGCACTTTGAGTCTCTTCATCCCGATCTGGAAGCCGTTCATGGCCTGGATGGCGGTCTGCGCGCTGGCCGGGTTGTCAAAGCTCACGAAGCCTGCGGAGACCGGGACGGAGCAGCGATGGTGGGCCACGGGGGTGTCCTCTGCTGGCTCCAGTGCGGCAGCCCAGGCTTCCCTGAGGTCCTGGGGGTGGGGGGCGTGCGCTCGCAGGGGCAGACGGCGGGGGGGTGGGGTGCTTGGGGAGGTGGGAGGGCCAGCCAGGCACGCACAACAGACGCCCTCTGCACTTGCACGCCTCTGCGGATGGGGCGCTTGCTACTTACCTGGGCTACGCGGCGGCAGTGGGGACAGGCGAGGCTGCCTTCTCCCTCCCCCCCTCCCCGTCCTGAACTCGTCTAGGCCTCAGATGCTAACGTGTGCCTCCACCCAGACTGCTATCCATCTGGGGTCTTGACTCTGCATGGGACTCTCTCTCTCTCTCTCTCTCTCTGAATGTCCTGTGTCTCTTCTCTCTGTCCTTTTCTCCCTCCCTCTGTCTTTTATCTCTCTTTCTGTACCTCTGTCTCTTTTTGTCTGTCAGTCTGTCTACCCCGTCTCCCGAGGCCATCACAAACATTCCAGCCTGCCAGTTCCTCAGATTTCCGCCCCTGCCCACCTTGCCCTACTCCTGGCCCCTCACCTCTTGGTCCTCAATGGTGTGCAGGCCACAGGGGCTGGGGGCCTTCTGGGGCGAGGGTCTGCATGCACAAGCATTGGGAGGCGGGGCTCCCTGAGCTCCGTGTAGGGGGCGGGGTGGGAGGGCAGGAGGAGCTGGGGGCAGGGCTGAGCTGTCTTGCCAGGGGTCCATGGGGAGCCTTGGGGGAATGAGGAGCTGGGGAGGGGTGACATCTTCTTATCTATCATCTCCCCTAACACCTGCCGCCCATCATATGGATGAGAAAACTGAGGCTCAGAGAAGGCATATGACTCCTCACTGTGGAAAGGGATTGAGTGGGTCCCCTCCCAACATTTCCTTCTTCCTCCTGGGGGCAGGATTCAGAGGAGGGGCCTGGGTGCTGGCCGAGGGCCCCTACTGGTGTGGCCAGCGTGCTGCTTGGCCATTCGGTGCTTCTCCTTCCTCCCAGGATATTGGGGCAATTCTTCTTTTTCCTTTTTTAGAGATTTTTTTTAAGTAATCTCTACACCCAATGTGGGGCTCAAACTCACAACCCCGAGACCAAGAGTCACAGGTTGCACCTACTCAGCCAGGCAGGCTCCCTCTGGAGCAAGGCTTCCATTTTATGGTTGGACACGAAGTATATACAGCAAGTGCTTAATAAATAGGCAATAGTTGGCCTTTTGAATAACACTGTGGGAGTAACAGTCCCAAGTTTGGAGTCAAACAGACTGGTTCTAATTTAGGTTCTGTCTCTTTGCTGCTGTGTGAACTTGGAGAAGTTGCAGCACATCTCTGAGCCTTAATTGCCTCTGTGTCTGGGGACAAGGAAGTCCTCCCAAGGCCCCCAAGGCCCTGCACCACGTCCCCTGCCTGCCCTCCCCTCCTCCCACCCCCCTTGCTCGCTCTGCTCTAGCCACACGGGCCTCCTCCTCACAGTTTCTCCAACATACCAGACAGGTCTTGCCCCAGGGCCTTTGCATGTGCTGTTCCCTAGATCCCTCTACCCCAGATATCCTTTGGTTGGAAAATCTCCTCATTTGGGTCTCAGTTGAGACATCACCTCCTGCACATCAATTTCTATTTCCTGACCAACGATGTTCTTCATTCCATCTATAGCCCCTTGGCCTATGTCCTGCTTAGTGTATTTCCATCTCCTACCCATAAACCTGTGCTTTTCCGCGCCCTCACCGCTGGCCACAGGCGGTTATTTCAAATTTAGATTTAATTAAACATTCCATCCTTTGGTTGAACAGCCCCGCCTTAGGGGGCCGGTGGCCATGTGTGGCTGATGGCTCAGGTGGCAGAGACATGCAACATTTCCACCAGGGGAGAAAATTCCGTTGGGCAGCTCAGCAGGACTATGAGGTTTCAGGGTGGGGCTTTTGCTGGTTTCCTTTACTGCCATGTCCCAGCACCCAGCACGGTGTCTGGCACACAGTAGGTGCTTAATAAGTGCTCACTCTAATTCATAAATATGATCCTTTTGAGCCACACGTGTCGTGTCTCACGGCTGACCACGCCCTCCCAGGCCCCTGTTCCTTGGCAAGTGGAGTGGGGGACAGGGCTGGCGGGGGTAGGGGAGGGAAGGGGTGGCTGCAATAAGGACTCACCAAAACATTTGCTCTGGTTGGTGGCCCGATCCATAAACACCTTGGAGGAGATGATATTGCCGAAGGGCAGGAACATCTGCGTCAGCTCCGTGTCTCCAAACTCCTGGGGGAGGTGGTAGATAAACAGGTTACAGCCTTCGGGACCTGCAGGTGGGGGAGAGAAAGACATAAAGCCCCCAAGGAGAGGAGGCGGACCCCCCCCAGGGGGAGGGGTGCGGGACCAGAGCCCACATCTGGCATCTCCAGCTGTTGGGGGAGGGTGCCTGTGACGTCAGGAGGAAGGGCGTGGCGATGGTGGAAGGGGACGCACGCTGGGTGCCTACTTTTGCCTGTCTAATCCCACGCTTGGGGACTCTAAACCTCCGATGGTCCTCAGGCCCCAGATAATTTACAAAATTCAGCTGGTCCCTCCTCCCAAATCTGAGATAAATCCCTCAGTGCCAGACCCTGGATAACCCCCAAGCCCCAGACAACCTGAAACCCCTGAAAAATCGCTAAACCTGAAACTCTAGGCCATTTACAACATGAGGTGAATTGCGGGGCGGCGGGGAGGGCCCAATACGGACACTTTGAACTATCGTTGCACTGATTCTGTAAATCTAAAACTGGTTTTAAAATAAAACATTCTTTTTTTTTTTTTACAAGTCTGAGATCACAGAATAAAATAAGAGCTCATTCCCTGGTCCCAAACCCCAAATACCTAGATATTTAAAAAAAACGTAGCTAATTCTCCAAACCTTGAATCATTTTCAAAACTCAGACGACACAAAAATAAAATCAAGTAAAATAAAAAAGAAGTCTCTAGTCCCAAACCCAGATAGCCCGAAACCACCGGGCAATTAAACGATATACTACACCTCCCAGAAAGAAATTCCTAACAGTACAGCTCTCTCTCAGAACCATCCCCTCCCCAAATAATCCCCAATGCATGACTCATGTAAAATCTAGAAATAACAATCCAATTAAAAAACCTTCATTATATGAAGCCACGAACATTCTCCAAACCTGCCCCTAATCCCAAACTGATAGATGCCTTCCCCCATACCCCCACAAACCAAGGGGAATCCCCAAATCATCAAGAATCCCCTTCGCCCTGGAAATGAGCACTCCCGCTTCGGTTTACTTAAAATCCAAGATTACACATTCACATCCAACCCTTACCTTCCTGATTAGGACCAGAGTTCTAATAATGCTCGTTTTTTAAAAATGCAAGTGTGCTGCAATGTGATCATTGCGCTGAAGCAGACGGCACAATTTTGACCCTAACACAAATTTCACCTTTACTTGTGTGCTATCTCTGTCCAAAAAACGCGGAGTGAAAGCAGACACCGCACCCAGCCGAATCGGATCTCGCGGGAAAACCGTGCGTGCACACGCCCCACCAACACACAGAGGCTCAAACACCTACCACGGTCTTGGTCCCCCAAGTGTGTTGTGAGCCACACGCATCCCCATCTGGGGCTCCGACTCCCCCATCTGACTTCAGACAAGCCTCTTTCCTCCACTCAACAGCACCTCACAGCTGTCCCCGTGTCCACCTCCACGTGCAAACGTGAGGTCTTTTCCAAGAGAAAGTGCCACATTTATTGTATTTTTTTTTTAAACCTGATAACATGCATAGGCTGTGCTACCACGTCTGCTAGGGTTCTGTCTTTGTTTTGTGCATCTGGACCCCATTCACTCAGGAACCTTGTAGATCGTATTGCGAGGCTTTGCATGCTGGGCGGAGGATCCAGAGCGCAGCTTGACCGCATCTGAACTTTTACCTCTCGGCCCAGGGTTCAGGGAAGTTGGGAGAAGGGACCGGGGAAGGGACACACCCAGGTCAGAGCCATCCACAAAACAGTGACCCGAGGCAGCTGTACCCTCTCTGAAGCTCCCACTGGCTCGCCTTGCATGGGGGGAGGGGGAAGGTGCTGGGGAGGGTGTCACTGAAAGTTACATGGGAGCTGTGGGCACTGCCAAATCCTCATGTCTGCTGCCCTCCGTGACTTTAACCACAGAGGCCCCTGGAGATACAAAATCTGAGAAGGGGATACCAGCTGGTTGGCAGAGCTGGAGACCCCTCAGCCCAGGGCTCACCTCCAAAGCTCAGTGCGTGTAGCCTGGCAATGCCCCCCCCATTCCACAGGCCAAGGGCAAAATGGGGCGGAGCCTCAAAGAGCTCAGTCTGCGAGGCTCCCCTGGCCATGGGGCGGTCTGGGGGCTTTCCTAGCTGGTCACCTCCTCCCCACCCCACTAGCTGTACGGAAGGGGCCTTCCAGGGGGCTTAGCTACACTACGTCAGGATGGGTCCTGTTTATTTCCCAGTAAGCGCCTCTTGACACAGACGGCCATTCCGGTTGCAGGTGAGGAAACTGAGGCACAGGGCAGCGAGGCGCTTTCTTTATGTCACAAGTCAGAACTGGGTCTGAATCCAGGTTGTCTGACTTCAGATTGTCTGACTCCAGAATCGACCTCCTCCCTTCTTCCACTTTACTGGGGAGGCCTCAGTTTACCCGAGGTATCTCATCACGGTCCCCCACCCCCCCACCTCAAAACAAGTTTCCAGAAATTCAGAGAATCATCCATCCCGTCTTGGAGAGGAAGGCTGTTGAGGAGGGGGGAGGGTCACGGCTAGTCCTAGGGGGTCGAAGCTAGCACGGTTCCCACATTCCAGAAGAGGAAGCTGAGGCTCAGGGAGGGTGATTCAGTTCCCCCGAACATCCAGGGGCTGCGTTAGAACTTGAGCCCAGGTCTGTCTGGCCCGCAAGCCGCGCTCTTAGAGCCGCGGTTCCCTGAGGCCGCGGCAGGCCAGGCCAGGGGTCCTGGAGGTGGAGGGGGCGGTCAGAGGGCTGGGCTGGCGCCCCGGGGGAGGTCGCGGCCCCCTCACCTTCTCGCTGCTGCTGCTGCAGGAGGGGCGGCGGCTGGGGGACGCTGTGAGCGATGGGCGTGATGGCCGCGGTGGGGTACATGGCTGCGGAGACCGGGAGCGAGACACAGGGCGGAGGCAGGTGTAAGGCCGGCGGGTGGGGGCGGGGCCACGATTGCTGTGGGAGGGGAGAGGGGCGTGCCCTCGGCGGGGGCGGGCCATGGGAGGGGCCAGGGCCCAGGGAAGAATGGGGCGGAGCCTCCCTATCGGGAGGGGGCGTGGCCACAGCCGGGGACAGGCCTGAAGGAGTGGCCAGGGCCACAGAAGATCCGAGTGGGTGGGGCCGGAGCTTGACGAGCAGGGCCACGGCTGAGGGCGGGGCCCTGGCCGGACACAAGAGGCGGAACCAGATGCTGCAGAGGGCTGGGCCGAGACCCGCGACTGGGCCAGGACCAGACGTGGGAGGCGTGGCTCGGTGCGAGAGGGAAAGCCGAATGAGAGGGCGTCCGCCGAGGGGCGGGGCCGTAGGCGGGGCGTGACGAGGGGCGCGATCGGGCCAGGAGGGAAGCCGGGGCCGAGGCGCGGGGCTACGCCCGGGATGCTGGACTGCCCCCCGTACCTGTGTACTGCTGGACTCCGGAGAAGGCAGGATGGAGGGTCTCGGCCACGGTCGGGCTCTGAGCTGCGGGGCAGACAGAGGGGCTGAGTGGGGCGGGGGCAGCAGAAGTCTTCCATTTACCCCCGATACTTAAGAGTCTAAAGGAGAGCCACAAACATCCGCCCCAGCTTCACCTCTGCATGAACGTTTTAAAGGTATGGCCCCTAATTTACAGGTGGGAAAACTGAGGTTCAGAGAGGTGAAGCAACTGGCACGGGGCCACTCAGATAGATAATGCCGAGGTCGAACAGGACTCCAGAGAAGTTTAACCATCATCCCCATCTCTCTGTCCCCATCCGGACCCCCTCTCTCTTCCCCTTTACTCTCTGGATTCTCCAGGACTTCAGGCCTCTGCTCCCCGTCACCCCCGACCCCCATCCCTTTCCCTCTCTCGCACCTCCCCACCTCGGATCTCCTGTGTGGCTGTGACCACCCAACTGCCCCCAGGGGAGGAGAGGAGGGGAGAGGTTATCCGGACCAGTAGCGCTGGTGCGTCTGGGGGAAAAATCAGCCAAAAGGTTCTGCTCGAATGGAGAGAAGCTGCTAGGGGGTGGGGTGGTGGTGGGGTGTGACATGTACCAATCATTCTGTGTTGATGGAGCAGTTTTGTATCTTGATTGTGGTGGTGGTTACACAAATCTACACTGTGATAAAATGGCACAGAATGCCCCCCACACACAGGCGAGTGCACGTACAAAGTGGTGCGCTCTGAATAAGGTCTCCAACTCCTGTGAGTTCATTGTACCTTACGAAAGTCGGTCTCCTGGTTTCCACAATGTGCTGTGGTTACGCAAGATGTTAGCATGGCAGGGGGTGGGGGTACTGGCTTGGAGGTACAGGGACCTCTCTGTACTATTCTTGAAACTCCTTGTGAGCTCCAATCATTTCAAAACAAAAATGAGTTCACCTCAATGGTGGGAACACAGATGACTTACTTCACCCAAGCAAGATACTGGCAGATGCGTGCTGGGAGCTTGTGGTCTACGTAAGGGAAAGATGGGGCCTCTGCTTCACAAAAGCAGGGCTGAGCCTCGCTCAGGGCATGGTTAATACTGAATGGATGAAAGAATGAATGAGTGAATGGACGAACGAGTGTGGCTACTGACATCTTCCTAAACAGCAATGATTGATAATTAAGATCTGTTCTTAGTATTGGTGACGGCGTTCAGCATTTTATATACTGATTGCATTATCAGTGCAACCTCATGAGATGTCTGATGTTATCTGCCCCATTTCCCAGATGAGCAAACTGAGACCCAGAGACTTCACAGAAACCACCCAGGGCCACCAAACTGGAATCTGCACCCACAAATGTCTGGATATAAAGTTCCCGTGTGTGTGTACCCTGCTGCAGCCCCCTTCTCTGTGCCCACCACTCACATCTGTCCAGCTGAGACCCCCTCTCTTTCCCAGGCACCATGGCATAGGAACTCATGCTTGTCCCAGAGACACCCTCCCAGCCTCGCTCCCCCTGCCCCTGGGGGAACCACTCATGTTACCTGGGTAGGGCACAAGGCCATTGGCATACACGGTCTCTAGGGCGGGATGCCCCCCAGGGAAGGGCACAACACCTGCGAAGCCATTGGTGATGGGAGCCACGAGCCCGGGCACAGCTGTGGTGCCAAGCAGCGGGGGCGAGTGCAGTCCTGTAGGGCGGAGGAGCGCCATGGGGAGCCTGAGCCTGGCCCTGGCCCAGCCCCGCCCACCCCTCCTCAGGCCCCTGGCGGACTCTCACCAGAGGCAGGGGCGATAGGTGTGGCAGGCAGCCCGTTAAGGCTGACGGCGCCGATCTGCTGGATGTGGCAGGGTGAGAAGGCCACGCCAGGGCTCAGGTAGCTGCCCGACGTGGACAGGACCGTTGTCTGCTGCTGCATGAGCTGGGGGTGGAGAGGGAGTCAGCGTGCACAGCCGGGGTAGCACCTGCCCTGAGGTCCTGACTCACTGCGGGAGGCCTGGTCCTCAGGTAACCAGCAGGCAGGCAGGGGGTGAGGGGTGGGGTCAGCCTGGCTCTCGTGGCTCAGGCCTCAGTTAGGCTCAGCCTGGGATCCAGGGTCAGTCTAGGATTAGGGTTCAGTCTTCAGATCAGGGCTGAGTCAGGAATTTGGGCTTGGTCTGGGATCAGGGATCAGCCAACACTGAACTAAGCCAGGGTTGGGTCTCGGTTTGGTGTCAGCCTGGATTGAGAGGCTCTTTTGGGGGCCAGGCACGGGGGTGTGTCAGTCCAGAGTCGGGTTTCAGCACAGGCCTGGAGCTCAGTTCATGGCTAGAGGGCTCAGCTGGGGATGGGGCTCCGCAATCAGCCTGGATCTGGGGACTCACCCGTGCCCAGGATGGGCCCCCGAGTCAGATAGACTGGGCAAGAGACAGAAAGAGGAGCAGAGAGGCAGTGGCCCTTGTCAGAACGTGGAGAAGAGACTGAGCGGAACGCTAGAGTGGCCTTGGGAGACAGAGTGCGTCTGCGGGGTCACTCACAGCCTGGGCGTAGGCACTGTAGGGGCTGAAGGGCAGGGTGAGGGACGGCGTCAGGATCCCCAGCTGGCCCACCATCTGCTGCATGCGCCGCAGCGTGCGCTCCTTGTCCGTGTCGGCAAACTTGACCACCAGGCTGGAGGAGGCGCCCTGCAGGGGTGGCGGCGAGCAGGGAGGGAAAGAAGGAGGGAGGTAGCCAGGACCCTGGGTTCCTGGAACCACGCCAGCTCAGGCCCTCGGGTGAGGAGTGTAGATGCCAGGAGCTCTCAATCCCACCCATGAGCCCGCCGCAGCGAGAACAGCTCAGAGGCATGCAGCCGTCTGTGCGCACAGGCGGGGTGTCCGGGCCCTGGGGGTCGGATCTGGGGCCCCGTAGAGGACCCGACCATCAGCCACACTCTCAAAAATGGGGAATCCGACTGCTGGAGATGAACGATGGGAACCTATGACTCACAGCTGAGAACAGGTGAGATACCAGCCATCAGAGAGGGTGACATGCCCCCTCAGAGAGAGAGAGAGAGAGAGAGAGAGAGAGAGAAAGAGACTGAGTGGGGGAAGGGCAGACAGAGGGGGTCAGAGGATCCCAGGCAGGCTCTGTGCTGTCAGTGCAGAGCCTGACACGGGGCTCAAACTCACAAGCCCTGAGGTCATATGACCTGAGCTGACATCGAGTCAGATGCTTAACCGACGGAGCCCCCCAGGCGCCCCGGCACACCCATTCTAGAGACGAGCTGAGAGCAGAGTTGGTTCTGGAAGGCCCGTCCTGCCCTGGCAGATGTGGACATTTATCTACAGCGATGGTGGCTCCTGGCGCCTCCTTCCTAGAGGGCAGGGGCCACTCCGGAGCCCGGCTGGTCTTCCTCAGCCTCTCCCTGTGCCTGACCTGCCCACCCCCACCCTGGCCCCTGGGGACATGTCCAAACGACCGTCCCTCCCCTGTCACAACTTCCGGTGGCTCCACATCGCCCATGCTCCTCAGCCGAGGACCGCAGCCCCTCCCGCTGCCCCCCTGCTCCCCTGCTGCCCCCCCATCTGTGTTGTCATTTCCTGCACCCCACATGGTCCCCTCTGGTCTCGACAAAGCCAAACCACGTCAGGTCTCACCTCTCCAGGACACCCTGTTGTACACCCACACACTTACACACGCTCTCACACACACATGTTCACCACGCATGTGCACTCACATGTGTACCACACATTCATACACACACACTCACCATGCGTGCTCAGACATATCCTCCCACATGTTCATGCAGTCACACACACACACACACACACACACACACACACTATGCATGCTCACACTCACACACCATGTATACTCACCATGCAGGCTCACGTACTCTTGCACACACGTGTACACGAATGCCACCCACACAGGGTTACACACTCACCCACATGCATACACTCACAAACACAGGCATGCATTTACATCGCCATGCATATCACAAAGATTGCACACATGCACTCACACAGTACATTCAGATGCACACAATGCCGTGTACATGTGCAAGTACATACACTCATATTCACACACCTGCCCAGCCATCCACACACACTCACACACTTGCCCTCACATTCCTGCAGATGCACACATATGCAGTTGTTCCCCCGTCCCCCTGACATGTGCGCACGCGTGCACACACACACACTCAATATACACGTACAAACACACGTGCACACAACCACAGACATACTGCACAATCAACTCACACAAAACACCTACTCAATACACTTATACAGTGCACTCATACACACATAAATGTGTGCCAGCATGCACACTTATCCATACATATTCTCACACACACACAGCTCACGTACACATTAACAATCACCCACTAACAGCACACACACATGCACTCACATACACAGGCATGCGTGCACACCCACATAGGCTCTGTTACACACGTGAACAGACACATGCGTGCTAGTCCACGTGTAATCACACACGCAACCACACACCAGCAGTACATCCATGCACACCCCCACACTTACTTGAATGCTCACACCCTCGTATGCTCCACGTGGGCACAATCACACACTCACATGCATACACCCACCCACGGCACCATCAGAGATGGCGCCTCCTTCTCCGCCTGTGCCTCACTGATGACCAGCCAGAGGCTGAGCATGACTGGGACGGTAGGGAGAGTTTCTGTCCCTGTCCCCTTATGCCTGCCACCAGGGCCCTGGGCAGTCCTACCCCCCCCAGAGCCCAAGGCAGTCCTACCCCCCCCAGAGCCCAAGGCAGTCCTACCCCCCCCCAGAGCCCAGGGCAGTCCTACCCCCCCCAGAGCCCAGGGCAGTCCCACCCCCCCCGGAGCGCAGGGCAGTCCCACTCACCGGCATGGTCTGGCTGCCGTGCAGAGCATGGATGGCCGCCTGCGCCTCGGTGTGGGAGGAGAACTTCACAAAGGCGCAGCCTGCCCCAAGAGAAGGAGAGCGCGTGAGGGGCAACAGGGTCTTTCTGGGGGCAGAGGCCACAGGAGAGGGGACCGGAGCCCTGGGTGGCCCGTCGGTGTCAGATGCAGGCAGCCAGAAGGTCAGACAGTCGGAACAGAGAGACAAGCACTCATGTGTCCAGACAGACAGCTGGACAGTAAAGGGTCAGGCAATGAGACAAGCACACAGCCAGCCACAGAGGTCGACATCAGCCAGTCGGCCATCCATTCACTCGGGAAGCCAGCCAGCCACACGGCTATTTGTCACCCGCACAGTCAGACAGACGCCCTGAGGGGAGGCAGGTCCTGCCCGCTGGAACAAGTGAGGAGCACGGGCTCCGAGAACCCCCACCAGCCTCTGGCACCATGAGCTCCGGTGCTGCGATCAGGTATGGAGAGTGACGGTGACAAACCTTCGGACACAGGCACAGAGCTGCAGTACTGTGGGCACAGCCAGGCACAGATACATTCAGACCCGGACAGGTATGCCCGTGTCACCGGAGTTAGAGAGATGAGGACCAAAAAAACGACAGACCCAGCTGGCTAGTCACAGGACGAAATCAGAAATCGGGCAGCCAGCCAGCCAGGGACCACAGACACAGGTAAATTCAGACACAGTCATAAGGAGAGACCACTAGACGTAATTCCAGACAGCGAGTACTATGGAAGAGCCAGGCAGGTGGGGTGGGACGATGGAATGTTCTGGAATTTGAGAGTGGCAATGGTCGCACAAGTTTTCGAATATACTGAAAAGCACTTCACCGTACACTTTTAAAAGGGGAATTTTACAGTATATGGATATCAGGTAAAAAAAAAAAAAAAAAGAGAGAGAGAGACAGAGAGCCAAGCAAATAGGGACCGTGGGACACATTCAGTCCTAGAAAATAAAAAGTTGCAAGGGCCAGAGACAGGCAGGCGGAGAGTCGGTGCCAGACAGAGGGACGAAACGGGTAGAATCAGGTAGACAGACAAAGACCACCAGACACATGAAGACCCAGACAGAAACAGTCACTGAGACACTCAGGCATAGTCAGAGACTGAGAGGCAGGCGTCCAAAGTCACATACAGTCTCAAGGGCAGACAGGGACACAGGTCGTTGGAGACCATTAAAGTCTTTCCTAGATGGTACAGCCAGGAGCAGGCAGCCAGTCCACAGGAAACTGTCCCCTAGAGCCAGGTGGACACGGGCAGCGTGTCGGGACATGGCACACAGTTAGGACCTGGTGGGACGTGACAGGCCCCGCCCCGGTCCCCAGCCGCCCCTCCCCACGTGCCTGTCCCTGCCCTCAGGACGCAATCCCGCCTTCTCCAGTGCCTGGCCCCACCCCCCAGGAAACGAGCCCGCCCTCTCACGTGTCTGGCCCTGCCGCAGGAGCGAACACCGCCCTCCCACGTGCTTGACCCCTCCCCCTCCCTCCCCTCGCCAGAGCTCAGTCCCGCCCCTCAAGTGCTCTGCCCCGCCCCCAGGGCCAACCCCGCCCTCCCACGTGCCTGGTCCCGCCTCAGGAGTTCCCTCACGTGCCTGGCCCCGCCCCAGGAGCCAGCCCCGCCCCCTCAAGGTCCGGCCCCGCCCCAGGAGCCAGCCCCGCCTTCCCGCTGCCCAGCGTAGTCCCATCCCCACCTACGCGCCCAGTCTCGCCCCCAGGCCAGTCCGGTCTCCCCGGTCACCTTTGCTGCTGCCGTCAGGCCCGCGGAGCACGGTGCACTCGTCGATGACCCCAAAGGGCTGGAACAGCCGCAGCACGTCCTCTTCCGACTGCTGCTTGTTCAGCATCCCCACAAACAGCTTCCGGTCCCCTGCGGGCGGAGACACCCCCTCAGTCGAGTCCTGGCCTCCCGGAAATTTCTCGGTCCCTCCAACCGAGTGCGGGCCGCGGGGCCTGGCGGGAGCGCGGCTGACCCTGGCCTGCGCGTGGGAGGACGTGGCCACAGGCTTCCCGGCCCGGGTCCGTCCCCCCCGGAACGTCCCGCCTTCAAGCCCCGGGGCCGCCGCCGCACTGGTCCCGCCCCCGGGCGCGCCCGCACGCGGCACTGGCGCGAGGCCGCCTGGCCTGGCCCGGGTCCCGAGGGTGCCCCGGCGGGGGCGCGCGCCGATGGCCCCTGCGCCCTCAGACGCAGCCGGGCAGTGTCCGCCGAGCGGGCGAGGGCACGGGTGTCCCGGACCCGGGGCCCGGGAAGCTGGGGCCCCCGGCTGGCGGGGCGGGGGTGGGCGGCCGGCCTCTCCCTGGGAGGCTCCGGAGTCCTGCTCCCTCCGGGACCTGGGCTGCTCCCCTGTCGTCGGGAGCCCGCGATGGTGAGCTGCCGTTACTATGGAAACCTGTTCTCTGGCAGCTGTCACTCATGAGGGTGGGCGGGAAGGAGAGGCCCAGGCAGAGAGACTGAGTCCGGGAAAGAAGCAGGTGAGAGAGAGAAAGGGCCAGGGAGAGACAGGGAGAGACAAAGAGAGACACAGAGTCCAGAGAGACAGGAGAGAAGAAGGAGAGAGAAAGAAGTACGGAGAGGGAGAGAGAGGGTGAGACAGAGAGAGAGGAAGAAGGAGAAGCGGAAGGAAAAGAAGGAGAGGAAGGGGAGAGGAAGGGGGAGGAGGAGGAGGGGGGAGAAGGGAGGATTAGTGGGAAGAGGAGAAGGCGGAGGAGAAGAAAGGGGAGAAGGAGGCAGAGGAGCAGGAGAGGGAGGAAGAGGAGGAGGAGAAGAATGAGGGAGAAGAGAAGGAAGAGGGGGAGGGGAGGGAGGGGGAGGAGGGAGGGGGAGGAGAAGAGGAAGAATTATTAAAAGTGAGAGAGAAGAGAAGGGACGGGCATGCGCAGACCCCTCTCTACGCGAGCAGCCAGGTAGGGGGGTGTGCACACGGGCGCCCCCGACGGGCTGTAGCACACACAGCGGGCCCAACCGCCCTGCTCCCCACGCCACCCCCAGGGCTGGCTGCTCCCCCTCAGCCCCAGTCCACCCGAGATGGGGAGGGGGCAGGAAAATCCCTAAGAATGACTAGGCTTGGGTGCCACTGGGGCATCTGAGCCCCAACGCGGGTCCCCAACATGGTCCCGACCCGCAGCCCGCACACCCGCCCGCCCAGCCGGGAGCCGTCAAGCACACGCGCTGGGAAGCACACGCGCTGGGACGCACACGCCCACGCACAGGCCACGCAAGCAGGCCCCCCACCGCATCCACACATGCATGTGTGCACGCGCTCACACGCGTCTGTACACAGGCACGCCAAGGAATGCATGCTCTCTCTTTCACACACACACACGCGCGCACACACACACACACACACACACACACACAGCAACTCCCCTCGGGGACCCCTTCAGGGATCCCGTCCCCTGTGCCTCAGAAGGCCCCCATTATGGCACCCTACGGGGAGTGGTGTATTTCAAGCTCTAGGGGTCAGCAGCTGGGCCTGGCCAGACCCCCCACTCCTGACTCCTGGGCTGGTGGCGCTGTGGTTGGGAAGAGAGGACAGAGCCCCCCTGCTCTCCTACCCGAGCCAGGGGACTCTGCCTCCACCCCCACCATTAGGTGTGTGAGCAGAGAGGTGACTGCTACATCCTTCTGATCAGAGATTCCCCTCCTTCCCTGGTTCCTCTGCCAGCCCCCAGCCTGGTAGCCACGGAGAGATGACAACTACCTCCGCGGCTTTCACTGTCCGCAGGCTTCACCTGGATCGGCCGCGCCATCTGTGGAGAGAGAGGGGAGGTGGAGGTCAAGGCTGGCCGGGCGGCATCATGGCTGGAGGCTATGTCTGAGCTCCGCCAGGCACTCTGCCCACCTCTCAGCATCCCACCAGCTTCCAGCAGCAAACCAGCCAAACTGAATGACACACAGTCCCATGTACTGGGCTTCGCTCATGCTGTCTGGAAAACTCTTACTTTACCTTCAGAACCCAGTAACAATATCCCTTGCTGCAAGAGGCCTCCTTGCCTTCCCAAGTGTAGTATGTTCTTTGCCAAGATGCCCAACTCCTCTGGTCCCGTATGTGATGTGACCTTGTGGTTTCTCTCACCAACGACTGGAGTCTATTTCCCCACCCTCTGCATCTGGACTTGACCTTGTGACTTGCTCTGGCGAGTGGAGTGGAGTGGAAGGGAAGAAGCGGGAGTTCTGAGCTCCGGCCTTGAGAGACTTTACAGCTTCCTCTTTTGGAAACTGCACATCGCCAGGTGGACAAGCCGAGGCGGGACAGGAGGACAGGGGGCCCCAAGCACGGAGAGGCCCTGACACACAGCCTGTGGGGGTGAGGCTGTCCTCTCCCAGCTGGCCCCGGCAAGCCCTGACTGGCCGCCACGGCATGAAGGACCCCAGGAGAGACTAGCAGAAGAACCACCCAGCTGAGCCCCGCCTGTGCTCACTAACTCGTGGAATCACGAACAAATGAACTGGTTGAGTTGGTTTGTTACCGAGCACTAGCTGACTGATACCAAGGCAACTACTTTTAGTCAGTTCTCTGAGCCTCGGGTGGGAGGACTGTCATACCTGAATGGGCCAGCTTTCAATGTGGACTCAGTGTTCTGGACACTCCTGTCCCCAGCCTTCAGCACTGAAAATGATATTCAGTGGAAGAAATCCTCCTGTGATCCCCACCCCCAAACTTACCCTGCCATGGGTAGGAGCTAATGTGGCTATTTGAGAACAAACTCAAGCGATGTGGGAAGTGGGTGACATTTGCTTCTCCACTCATCTGAGGACGGAATCCTCCTCTGAGCCTGGTATCTCTGGTGAACTCCTACTCATCCTTCAAAACCCCGATTGAAAGCCCCACGTAGGCAGCCCTTCCACCCCTCTGGGTTTCTTCCTCCTTCTGCTTTGGGGACAGGGAGTGTCTGTGTCTTGCTTTCTCATGCAGGCAGGGAGAATCGGAGAAACTTGCCGAACTGAACTGACCGGAAGGAGATGGCCAACACCCAACAGCTAAGAAGGGCACGCAGTGCCTCTGCACCGGGCCTGGGTTGGACCCCAGACCCCCTCCAAGGTCAGACACTCCCCGTGGCCATTCGGAGAAGGTGCTTGATGAACGCCACCTCTCTGGTCCCTGTGCAGCTTCCCAGCGAGCCCCAGCTTTCACCAGGCTTTACAGATGTCAAAACCATGGCTGGGAGTAGTTATCTATCCAAGGTCACGGTGAGTGAGTCAAGGCACTAAGCCTTCCTAGACTTCAACTCTAAGGATCTTTCTACCCAGTCCCATGAGTAGAGAGCCCTCTCCAACTATGAACCCCCAGATCTCCTTCCCCTTCTCTCAGACCCTGAACTGCCCCCCATCTGAGTCCCCTCCCTCACTGTGCACCCTCATCCCTACGCCCCTCCCCCTCTCCAGCTTCCCTACCCTCTCTGAGCCCCTCCCCATTCTGAGCTCATGCGCTGCCTCAATTTGAACTCAGTCTCGGGAGGCCCAGAAGCAGAGAGGCCTTCCAGCTCCTCAGGTCCCGCCACCCACCCAGCCATATCGTCAGAGGGACCCTGACCACCTGGGAAAGGCCAAAGCATGTCTCCCTCCCCCCATCATGCGCGCGCGCGCGCGCGCGCGCACACACACACACACACACACACACACACACCCGGGGCCCTCTCACCTGGGTACCACACCCAGCTAGCTAGAGGCAGGAGGGGAGATTTTTTTCAACCAGATGGGACCGGTTTCTGGGCTGGGGGCAGACTGAGGTCGTGAAAGGAGGTGGGGAGCAGGGGGCACCTGAGCTCCGGCCTCCTGTTCACCGCCACCCCACCCCCCCGCCTCCGCTGGCCCTCACCTCCTCCCCCCCCCCAGCACCTTGGGCAGATGAGGATGGGGTTGCCATGGCAACGCCGATTCACCCCACGGAAGCTGGCAATTGTTGTTGCCATGGAAACCGCCTCTTAGGGGCGAGCCCAGCTCCTGCCTCGCACAAAAGAGATATTTAAATATAATCTTCTGGAGATGGATGAGCACAGGGAGGGAGCGAGGGAGGGGCGGCCACGGGGAGGGAACCTGTCCCCATCCCCGCACCCTCCACCCCCCGCCCCATTCTCGCGGCCTGGGTACCTGCGCTCCGTCTCCCCCACCCCCCGCTCCAGCCTGGTTGCGGAGCCTGGGACCTTCCGCCTCCCGGGAGGCCCCTTCCCCCTCCTGGGTCAGCTTGGCGCGGGGCAGGGGGTCTGGGTCTGGTCCCGAGAAGCCAGGCGGGCAGCCCGTCCCCTCCTCCCCGGTCCCCCACTCGAAAGCCGAGGCTCCGAGGCCCGGCCGCCCGGCCCCCGCGGCCCGCCTTACCCACCGGCCTGGAGACGCGCGCCAGGCTGGCTCCCACGTGCCGCCGCCCGCCCGGCCCCGGGCGCACAGGCGCGCACACGCCGCACGCACGCACCGGCCCCGCGCCTCGCTCCCGGCGGCGCCCGGGCGTCGGGCGGGCGCTGACGATCCGCCCGCCAGAGGCCGGGCCCTGACGGCGTGGCCCGCCCGCCCGAGCCGGGAGGAGGCGTGCCGGGGGGGGGGGGGGGGGGAGGCGGGAAGCTGGGTCTCCCCACCCCCCCTCCTGTTGCCCCTGCCCGCCCATCTGGCTCTGCCCACCTCCTTCCGGCTCCCTCTCTCCATCTGTCCCACCGAGGTCTCTGCCTAGTGCCCTCCCTCCCTCCCTCCCTCCTCCACCTTCTCTGGCTCCCCATCGCTTCATCCCTTCCTTGCCCCTTCCCTTCCCCCTTTAATTTATTCCCTAACACTCCCCGTGTGCCCCATGCGGAGTAAGTTTGCCACCCCGGGGTGGACCCCAGTGGCCGAGGGGAGACAGAGGCAGATACAGACACTCCGGGACCTAAGAGGTCAGGATTGAGCCAGAGGTAGGGATCAAGGGCTCAGAGACCCTAGGACAGAGAACAGTGAAGAGCCCAAGGCTATTCTGGGGCTGCACTGGAGATGGGATATGTGTAGTGGGTTTTGAAGTATGAGTAAGAGTTTTTGGGGAGGGGGGACGGTTTCTCCTGCTGGAGGAATCCCTACATCCCCTGACTCATTTAATCTCCAAACAACTTTATGAGACGAAAACATTGTCATTTTGCAGATGGGCAAGTCAGAAAGGGAGAGGAGAGAGTTGGAAGCAGAGTCCAGGTCTCCTGAGGGTTTCCTCAAGGGTCCTCTTAGGATCCAGCCCGCCCTCCAGCCAAGGTCCTGCGGGCTGGGGCTCCGGGGCGTCTGTGACTCCGGGGTGGGCACACATCAAGTAGCTGAGGTCCAGGCCTTGCTCTGCCCCCCAGCGTTTGCTGGGTGACTTCGACTAAGTCATACATGGTCCCTTGTGTATGACCTGTGTATCTTACAGATGGGGAAACTGAGGCCACTGGGGAAGGGACCGCAGGAGGTGCCTCTGGTAGTCGGGCTGGGGCCCCTAAGATGGTCCTTTAGAAGATGCGGGGGCCCAGGAGAGGCCCCAACCAGGCTGTTTCCGGGGGGTGTGGAAGAGAAGAAAGCAGGGTGGTGCCGAAGCCGCTAATACAGCCCCCCCTTCTCCCACTGGGGTCCCAGGCCAGCCTCTGTCAAACACCCGGACCAAGCCTCTCTCCTGCTCTAGGTGCTGCTGTGGCTCCCTACTGCCCTGGGAGCAGCATCCTGGCATTCCTCCTCTCCCTTCCTCCTGTGCCCCCAGGACATCACTGAACTCGCTGGCTGGACCTCACCCTCCGCACCCCATCCTCACTGTGAAGAGGCCCCTCAAATGCCACCTCTCCCTGAAGACTTCCTGTCCAAGTCCATCTCCTTCGGGTGCTTTGTCCAGGCATCACCTTGATTGTGGTACATGCTCCCCCACACACACTCACCCTCTTGGGTGACTTCCCAGGGACAGGGACCAAGGGCTCTGCGCCCCCTCCCCAGCAGAGGCCCGGCCCAGGGCCCACAAATGGCAAGTGAAATGAAATGAGACAAGACCCGTGGTTTCCAGACTCCGCAGAAAGCGAAACCCAGTTCCCGTGGGCAAAGAGCAAGCTGGGCCTGCGCTGGGACAGCGCCCCGTGTGGGGAGTAAGTCAAGGGCTTGTGCCCAGCTGCGCCTGCGCCATCCCCGCTGCAGGGGAGAGACTGGGCTTGGGAAGATGGCGAGACTGGCCCAGAGTCCCGCAGGCTTGACTTGCCTGCAACCCTTCGTTTGTTCATTATCGTGGATTTGCCAGACTCCAGGCTCGGCAGCTGGCAGGTGTCCCCTCGCACGGCCCTCAGAACACTCTGCAGTCCCATTTCACAAGTGAGGAAACTGAGGCCTGGGGAGGTCAAACCACCTTGGGGCCCCTTGTGCCTTCTCAGGCTTGGCTTGGCTCTGAGCCAAGTCAGGGGATGTGGGCCTGGGTCTTGTGGAAGGGGGGTTATCTCCGAAAGCCCGTGTGCGTAGAAGGGGGTTCAGGAGGGGTCTGCTGGAGGGACCCGCGGGCAGACGGCCAAACCTACCCCTTCCCAGGGCGCACAAAAGGGGGGGACCCGCAGGCAGACGGACAAACCTACCCCTTCCCAGGGTGCACAAAAGCACAGCAGGGCAGCCGGCAGATCTGGGGTGTCCTTTGGCCCTCAAGACCTTCATGAAGAAAGAGATGGCACCGCCTCTAACGGCACGGCCCCCGAGAGACCCCGCTGGACCTGCTGTCCCCTTGGCGCCCGGCTCCATGTCCAGGAGCCCCGTCCTGGGGTTGGACGGCCCAACAAAGAACGTCAGCGGCCATTTGAGG